CGTCGATCAATGGTAAGAGTGAGCAATAGAGCAAACTTGATAGAGTCTCCGGGCTGTCCATTATATCCTGTAGGGACAATGGGCTTCGGCAAGGGAATGAACTTGACATCGAAGGCTTTGGCAAGACAGTAAGAAAGAGTGGTAGAAACAGCACCGAAAATGTTTGCTCCGCCATCTATATGGGCTTGGGTCTTGATAAATGATCCGTTACGTCCGAGCTCTATGGGCAGCAGGCACTGGCGTCCTCGAATGAGAAGACGGAAATCAAACCTCAAATCCTTCCATATATTGCGACTATTGCCATGGAAGGATTCTTTACCTCGGCTTAAAAGTTTTGTTGATAGCTCATCACTTTCAAGAGATATTTGAGCAATGCACTTGTTGAAATGTTCCGAAATGGTGCAGTGAGTAGCCAGATGTCCAGACTTATGGCACTTGTAGCAAATTATTATGGCAGGAAGGGCGGGCGATTCATGACTTATAGTCTGTTGGAGAGCCAAGAATGGAGAGCGTGTGCGGACTGTTCTATTATCCGAGTACGATAACCTAGCTTTCGATCTCCAGCAATCTTTCTTGAGAATATTGCGGCTTCTTTCAGAAGGGGCAAATGCAACAGCAGGCTTAAAGCTTTCTTCCAGACGGATATTACGCTTCTTACGGTCGGCGATAGCTAAGAGCTCGTCCAAGAAAGTGTAACTGTTGTTCATTTGGTACTTTTCCGTGCGAATATCTCTCTTAAGATGAGGAGCAATCTTCTTGCACAAATCTTCCAACCAACAGGAACGGGCGATTTTTCCAATTATAGCATATGTGTTGAAGTTGACGCGGAAATTATTGTAAGTCATGTTGCCCTGCTCCAGATTGCGGTATTTTAGCTAGGCGATCTGGACTCGGTTATAGTCGTGGAAACGTTGGTCTAGAGCCTTTAGCACATCGGCAGCGGACTCAAAGGTACTGGCAAGGTCAGGATCTATATTCTGTAGGATGATAGTTTTAGCCTCTCCTGACTTGCACCTGAAGTAAGCCTTTATCTGCGACGTGCCTAACTTAATATTGCCGGAGTACTACTTGATGAACAGCTTCATATCCATCTTCCATGTATCATATTCGATTTTTCCTTCGTGATCACTAAAATGGGTGCGAGGGTATTGAACCTTAAATGGCCCAATGGCCAATACAGTATGATCAAGGGTAGGAAGATAGTAGTTTTCGAGGGGGTGTAGACCTGCTGTTAGAGCTCGAGTGTTTTGTACTTCATCTTGTGCAGGAGTTCTGGAGACTCTCTCTACTCTGTCAGCCTCGAAAGCATCCTTGAAGGTGGCGGCAACAGCAGCTTGCACATTTGTTGATTGTGCTGGGGTAAAGCTGTCTGTCATTATATTTACCGGATAGGAGTCTTTCTAGATGGATGGCATGAGGGTCTCAGGTGAAATGGTCGAAAAATGGGTGCTCCTGTATTTCTGGAAGGGTCGAAATTTACTCGAATTGCTCAAGGCAGGTGGAGTACAATGAATAGGGATTTCCAGCTTGCTCTAGGACAGTGAGGTGTAGGCTCTACTGGCTGTAGAAAATGAAAGGTTATCTACAAAGGTACTTACGAATTGCTCAGGGCAGTTCGAGAGTGAAGTGTTGAGGAATGTCCGAATTGCTCAAGGCAGGTCGGAGCAATTGATTGGAACGTGGATTTAATGCTTACCAGCGGACTAAAAGGTCTTTTCTTATGTTACGACTGACCGGAGGATGATACGGGTCTCTAAGAAGAAGTTGTATTTGAACATTAGGCTACGCTACGTAGGTAGGAGAAAAGTCAAAGAGAAAGGAAGTGCTGGGAGCTACGAGCTTGAGGTAAGCTCGACCGCGGCTCCACCTTAGTCCGGCCTGCATCCCTGTTATACATTATCATGTGATCCCGGATTCTTCCACCAGTCTACCTCCAAGTGCCCTAACAAGTCCAACCATAACACAATCTAATTCACCAGATCAGACATCGTCGGTCACCATCCACCTCACTCCCTACTGTGACATGGCATATGTACAGCACCTTTTGGTAATTCATTTTTGTTGTCAATGGATGGGAATTTAATATCACCACAGCCGGCAGTCATTATTTTAGCACCTCCTACAATACGAACGGTATTGGTACTATTCAGATAGGATGAAAAATCATTTTCATTTCCGGACACTTGAAAGTCTGCAGCTGTTTAGTTCATTTTATTGTCCTATCTGAGTCTATGACTATGTAACACATGCAGGTCCTCTCTGTATCTGCAGCTGTGTCTAACTGAAAAGCAGATTATCAAAAGTGCTATTTTGGGACAAAACCTTGTTCTTAGAGGACCCATTATTTTGCCGTGAGATTTCTATCGCAATTTTCTTTTTCTTCCTATATTCACTTTCTTTATGTCCTTTAATACCACAAAAGTTACATGTCACAAAAATTTTCTTGAAACCAACTGATCTTGAATTTGAATTAGTAGAAGACCATCTAAGACATTTAAAAATCATCTCGTGAAGACCATGATCCAGACAACGATTGGCAAGATCCGGCTGCAAACTATTTATGTGGTGCAGAAAGAGGTGTTTCATTTGTTGTTCTACTTCTGCCGTTATGGAAGTGTGTTCTCTGAGATCTTGAAAACACTTTTGATATTCCTTCATAAAAGCCTCAATAGTTATGCCTTTGTCGGGTTGGAAGGTCCAGAATTGGAAGGTGATATTCATGAGATTAATTTGCCTTTTTCGCGAGCGATGCAGTAGCAATTGTGGTGAGAATCGTGAAAGGAGAATCGCGAGGAGCTATCATTAAATGAAGCGCTACTGCCTTAAGTTTTGCAACCCACCAGGCCGACCACATGATTGCGGTTTTATTGATCGGAGGACTGCATAGGAAAACGGCCGATGTCTCAGTGAGAAGCATGAGACGCTGAAAAGACTCGCACCGGTGAAGCCAATTTGATGATTTTAAAGTTGGAACAGGCACTATTTTCTCGATGTTACCCAGACGTTCTAACCAATTCCAGATTTCTGTGTTTCTACTAGATTCTTTTACCGAGGTTTGAACGTCCTCAGCATATGCAAAAATAAGCCCGTTTATAATAATGCAGCTGATGAAACCAACGTCAGATAAAGATTCTTGATGTTCTACATTTGCCTCTGATGAGGGCTTAATTTTAAAAGATGACATTGTTTAAATGTGCGTTAGTTGCTGTGTGCACAATAGTGTGCGTGGGGTCGAGCGTGCGAAAACCAATGTCGTTCGATTTTAAAAGAAAATAATGGACGCTGTGTTTGCAGTGGAAGTGACTAGAGGGCCACAACCTGACGTGCAAGAAGCATGAATTAATTCACTTCTCTAGTTTAATGTCATATGCGGTTTCTATATAAAGAACCATGAAGACGGTAAGGCACTTTGGTAAGAGAAAAGGTTTTCAACAAACAAAACACAATGTCCTGCCCCTCTAAAGCGACCCGGCTTAATGCTGAGGACGTTCCTTTCAACCACAAATTTATAAACTGTCCCCATAACTCGTTAACCCTCCCTTCGATCAGACTAACGTTGTGAAAAATTAAATAAAGGAGGCGCCTCCTCACTCGGCGTTGTTCGCCGAAGTGTTCGAAGAGTTGGCCCCGATGGTGGTGCTGCTGTCGTCGGGATGGTTAGTGCCACTGGGGCTTCGACTACCTCGCGTGGTCGTCCCGGCCCTCTTTTGAATCCTTCAGCCTTTTGACTGGTGACCAAAGTAAATCCCTAGTCATCAGTTGGTCTGACTGTTTGTGTGGGCGCCACCGTAGGTTTTTAGTTCAATATTTCCGCCGTTCTTGACAACAGCTCTATCCGAGCCTTCTCCACACTTCCCTTGTAGACCTGGTAGGTCCGACACGCTGCTTTCTGCCATGAACGAAGTTCCTTGCCGCAGTTGGCACAAGAAACCCTTTTCCTCGGAGAGTCCCGAGTTTGGTGAGCGCCAGCGCACTCACCGCACCTGGCTGCCTTTTCACACGACGCCTGCGTGTGTCCCCATTTGCTGCAGTTATAACACTGCTTTGGCTGAGCCCGTGGCGACCACACCTGCGCGGTGAAGAGCATGGCGTTAATAACAAGGCCCTGTCAAACTACCTCCGTTTGCATTGCCTCCGATGGGAGGCTGACCACAATTGATCCGTGATTGCGATCGTATTACTTCGATCGCTAGTGTTCCTTTCCGTCATGGAGCCATCGTATTCTGTTAATTACCAGGCCTCAAATACGTGCCTTCGTCGCCGAAAGAATCTCCCTAATGATGGTGTAGTCGTTTGCATCCCTGACATCTTCAATTCTTGTCTGCAGTAGAACTCCGGAAAACTCGACTGGAACATCTTGCCGTAGAATTTTAAATTCGCTGGGTTGTCGCATATTAAGCGCCGCGTTTCTTTGGGTTGACGACTGGACAAACACCTCGGCATCGCTGCTCCGCATTTGACGAATCGCATATGCACCTTGTATGTTTTCTTTTGCCTTTGAAAGCAGCTCTTGTGGCTGCAAGTTTTGAGCGCCATCGATTCTTATTCGTACCGTCGTCTTCATCATTTGCGGAGTCACGACCGACGCGTAACTCCTAGGTGGCGGCGCGCTCGAAACCACTGCTGGGGCAGCTTTTCGAGCAGGATACGCGAGGCTTTTCTTGACAAATTCCTCTAGCGCCATCATCCTCCCCTCGATATGAGACTTATTCTGGGACATTTCCGTCCAGGCCTTTTTGTGCGTATTGAAGTCCTTCACGGCCTCATTCACGTCCTCCTTATTCATCTCTCCCATCACGATAACTCTAACCTGTGTAAGTAGTTTCCCAAGGATTTCAAGGTTTCTATCCTTAGGAGCTGTCTACGCTCCGCTGCCGTTGTTGGTTGGGGCCGTTGTCGCATTTTGCGTCGCGTCAAAACTGCAGGATTTACCCACACCAGCACTCACGCTCGCCAAGTTGGAGCACGGAAAGCGAAAAGCTGAGAAGGGGACAATGAAGATGAAAAATTATTATCACGATGTCAAATTGATAATACAGGCAGCGTGGAAGGTTGCGCAGCTTTCAGGCAAAATTGATGTTTTTACAGGGAGCATAAAAATTACACTGTTTGTTGTTTGTTTGTTTTCTATTTTTCGTCCGTCGGGGCGCCAAGCTTAACTTAGGTCCCTACTACTTACTAAACTACCTAGAGGCATGGACGCCAGTGCTTACTGCTCTGGTGGCTTCGCCCTTGCTACTTCCTAACTAGGTTTACAGGGCAATTCTCTAATGACATGATTGCGTTTAGCATAGCACCTGCACTTTTTCAGCCAGTCCCCGAGGCTCTTTACTCATTTGATGTATAACAACCACTCTCAAGATACTACTAATATATCCATTCATAAATACCGCACCATCCATCCATAATGCAAGGCTCAGAGTTGGGGCAGAGTTGAAGACCTATTTATTTCTTCTCTGGGGTTTCTAGGGCAGGTCTTTATTTAAAACTCTGAAATAGAAAGCCCTTTTGCTACACGTAGGGCCACTTCCCAGGTTCCTAGCAAAAATTTCTTTGGGTCCCTTGAAGATGCTGGAGCTCGAGGAGGTCTATGAGTGGTTAGGTGGCACTCTAGGAAGTGCAATGTGGCTTTGAGCTGTCCGCAGCCACAATGAAGGTTAGCGCCCTCGTGATTGAAACGGCGGTGGTACTCTGCAAAGTCACCATGTCCTGAGCGGGCAGCGTATTGTCTAGAGAGAAATGGTCTGGCTAGTGTGAGTTCCTTAGGGTTACGAGAGTATGAGTCAATGGCAAGCCCCCTATAGGATACTGGGGCATGTCGGTCCCAGTAGTTTTTCATAGCCGTCGATACTTCTGCCTTGATGCGATATTTTGCGGTATCAAAAGAAACGTACCCACGGGGTATAGGCTGGGTTTTTGAAAGCCCCTCCCGAGCAGAGGCGTCGGCCAAAACGTTACCCAATATATCAGAGTGGCTTGGGATCCAATAAGCCTTGACTTTCTCGGGAGGGATGTGTGGGAGCCGGGTGCGAAGAGGTCAGTCTTGTGAGAGGGCTTGTATTTGTTGAAAAACGACTTGCGACGAGCAAATTGGGGACTGAAATAAAAGGCGAGTGTGACGGCTTGTAAGCCGATAATTACCTGTAGCCTACGCTGTCCAACGTAGGCTTAGCGTGGCACTAGGCGGAGCCTATTCTCGGAAATAGGGGCTTACAAGTGGCAATATCAATATTGTATAACTTCCGAGAATGAGGCGCGAGAGTGGGACACGAGAATGAATGTGCGGATATAGGGACAAACGGGTAAACGGATAGAAAGTCTTGTCATTGGCTTGGATAATAATCATGTATAAAGTAGCTGTTATTATCCTCTTCGATCTATAGTTCACCATAGATTGAAAATAAACTATTTCTGACCATAAGGTTGCCCAAGTGCCTATGCTTAGACCGTGACAGCGAGCTACTTGCAGGTTATCTGTGAGTATCCAAATATTTTCTGAGAAGCGTGCTGTTGGTAGGTAGAGCGCAGCTTTGAGGGCTTCTTTCACGGCGGTCACTTCTGTGTCGAAATGAGACAGCATCGAGTCATGGGACAGACTCTCGCGGTTAACCATCTGGCCAGCTTGAGAGATAACAATTCCACCACCTGTCCTGGGCGATTCTGCTATCTCAGATCGAGCGCCATCTGTATAGACTGCTAGATCTCTGAAAGGGATGCCAGAAGGGAGATTAATGGGAGGGTGCGTAACTCGCCTTACACTATTGTACTGTGTCTCACTTTTGAGCCATGGCGGCTGAATCAGAGGGTCGATTGTTTCAGTGTTCGGAATTTGGAGAACCTAGCCCGCAAGAAGAGAGACTCGTCGATTGTGTGCCCGGATCCATGTGGCTCTTTGCCGGAGTGGGTGTCTAGGGTCCAGGCGTTGGATGCGCAGTGCCGTGAATTTTGATTTAGAGTCCAGCTCTAAATCAGGAGGGAGGAGACATGATTCACGGTACAGAATAGGGATTAGCGTAGTCCGATATACAGGTATGATAGCTCTGGCCCCCGTTAGAATAACTTTGCGGGGGATGGATAGGTGTCCTTTGACTCGATTCGAGGTGAGTCTATTGCTGTATCTGGTGCGGCCAGGCCACCAAGTCTCTACGCTATAGTAGGCTATGGGAAGTGTGCAAGCTAAGATGGCTTGTCGGATAAGTTGGGGGGGTGCTCCTCGGACGGTGTTGCTGAGAGATCGGAGTGCGCTGGCAACTTTAAGAGTCTTCTCAGCTAGTATACGGACATGCCATTTAAATGAGAGGGTTCGATCAAAGTAGACCCCTAGCCAGCGCGTGTAGGGTTTATTTGGATGCTCAGAGACCCTTATAACTCTGTAGGAGACGGAAGGGGTTGACAAAGGGTCGCGGTCAGCCCGTTTACGAGAGAAGTGTTGTAGTTCCGATTTTTCTCGGTCGAAAGTAATGCCTTCCCTGTCCCCCCACTCTATTGCTTCCGCCAGTGAGTGAGAGAGAGCTGTGCAGTTGCTCAGGAGGTTAGGCCCTATCTCAAGGAGAGCAACATCGTCTGCATAGCCAAATCTTTTCCTCTTCATTCCCATCTTGAAGAGCGGTGAAATGTAGAGCATGAATAGGATGGGCGAGGCAGGTGAGCCTTGTGGAAGACTGCAGTCCACATGTTGTGGGGGGCCTGTTACTCCATCGAGACAGACGCACACCGTACGGCGTGAGGCAAAGGATCCTACCCAACGCACCAGGTTTTCAGGCCATACTTGCTCTCGTAGACGGCGGACAAGTCGTTCCAGATATACGGCGTCGAAGGCTCCCTTGACATCTAAGGTGAGCATACTAGCTGTAGAGCCCTCGTAAAGTGCCTTCTCTGCATCGTGGGTAAGGCAGGTAGTTAGGTCAACAGCCGATCTGCCTGGGAGAGCGCCGAATTGTTGGCTCGATACCACTTTATGCCGGATGGTAGTCCAAGCCATTCTTTTTGCAATAAATCTCCCTAAGCTTTGCCAAGTACAGAAAGTAGTGCAATTGGGTGGTAAGATCGGGGCGAAGAGTAGTCTGTCTTGTTCGGCTTTTGGATCATCACCTGAGTGGCCTTCCGGAAGCACTCAGGATAGTGCCCAATCGAAAGGCACGCGTTAAACAGAGAGAGTACTTGTAGTTCAATCAAAGGCCACGCGCGTCGGATAATGGCCGTGGATATTCCGTCTGCACCAGGAGCGGTGTTGCCAGCACGTAGGATGGAGTCTAGGATTTCCTCGTCGGTAGGAGATGGAAATGGCAGTGAGTTTGAAGAAACTGTTGGAGAATCCATAGGGATGTCACCAACAACTGAGGGGTTTGCGAGTAGATTTTGCATAAGAACCTCCATTTTTCCGGCAAGACTCTGAACTGGAGATAAAAAACACACTGTATGCTGTTTACTAATTATAAATACAGTTTATGACGTGATATGTCACGTGCCATGATGAGCACCCATATCAAATTGCCTACGCGAGTCCACAGTACGTCACATGTTTAAATCAGGATCTACATATGTGCTTAATAATAGTTAGCCTTTTCGAGTATAGCCCCTCACGTCAAACTTCTTAAATGCGCGCGAGATGGCACTCAAATAGCACGTATAGTGACAGGGTAAATTGTGGATGACTATAATCGGCTTAGTAACGACTTACGTCATCATAATGATCTGGTTAAGCAGATTAAAGCTTTGACTCCAGACTCAACATTACACCACACGGACAATAGCCACAACTAGCGAGACCCACCACATCTTTGCGCGGACTGCATTGGCACGACCCCGCATCTGCTCGCCCTTTCCAATCTCCCTGATCGCGACAGAATTGTTGTTGAAATCGTATCCAAGCGCAAACTTAGCTTCTTTCATAGACGCAATATCCAGAAGCTCTTGTCTGTGTGTAGCCAAGATGTTTGTACTTCTACCTTCGGGACAAAATTGAACCTTCCAACCACCACCTGACGGCACAATAAAAGTGCTGGTTTGATCGTCGTAGGCAAAACTGTAAGCATCGGGGCAGACAGATTTGGCCTGTTTAGCGTAAAGTGGCGGCTTGCAAACCTTTGGGTCATTGTAAATGCCTGTACAGCAGTCAACCGGAGAATTAGACTTGGAACACGCAGAAAGACAAGGATCAAATATGGGGCGCTGAATACTATCGTCGGGATAAGAGTAGACGCCGTCAACTGGTCCGGTTGGCTGATGGACCTGAAGATCCCAGGGACACCACTCGGCAACTGAAGAGTTTGTATGCTTGGCTTCATACGGAATGGAATTTGCTGAGTCAGTCTGATCCGTTCCAAAAGGTGCTAGATATCCCGAAGTACCTATGCAAGCACAGTTCGTAAGTCGTGGCGGAATACTTTGCAGTTTAGCGACGTCGCCGGGCATAAAAGTTATTCCCATAGGCAGGTTATAGCCGTCAACTAGTGAGATGTCATAAAAAACTTGCCGACCATCAACTCCGCCGGCTAGATCAAATTCGGAGAGAGTCACCGGTGTTTCCCCCTTGCACACATAAATATAGTCTCATGCAGAACAGTGGAATACACTTACAGTATTAACACAATTTAGTACGCCGCCACAGTCTCCGGTGGAACATGCAGCTCCAGCACCGTTTTTCCCATTTAGATTACTAGCCCCAGTGCCTGCAGCATTAAAGCTACAATTTGTTCGTCCCCACACTCGACCCTGCCAATCCTGACTCACAGACAGGCGAACCATAGCCCCCGACAATAACTGAAACCCTCCTGTTCCTGGTCCTGTTCCAGCTTGAGTTCCAATAGCTGGCCACAAGGTTTCAGGACATGCGTTGCTAATCATGAGCGGTGCTTCTCCATCTCGCTTCGTAGGTGGTCCCCATCTGACGGGCCTCGGCAGGGGATTAGCATTTTCCGAGAAGTATCGGTTCTGCGTGTAAGCTACCGCCGATGGGCTCAAAGTGATATTAAGAAGGAGACTCCCTAGTATGATGCGTCTAAGCCGCAAGATTACCGAATTTTGTCCCCATACATAAAGGCCCATGATCAAAATACCCCTTGACTCAATGTTAATAACTGGCAGAATTAGTTTAGTCTCTGATTTCAGGCTTTAAAAGTTCAAGTTCCTGATACCGATAACATACATATAATTTGGCTACAGCGATGAAGTACACTCGTATCTTGATCGTGAGATCAAGGCACGAGGCCTAATCAAATTGTAGGTAAATAGCTAATAGCTATTTCGAAAAAAAATTGCCTACAAAGATAAAACTTTTCAGCCAGCAATTAAGTTGGAGACCGTCCGAAGATATAATATTCAAGCAATAAAAAAACTAATTCATTTGTAAAGTGTAGAAAAATTGAGGATAGCGGAGTTTCACATAAAGGAAGAGGTATGAGATAAGAGGTGAGAGTTGAGATCAGAGCTTGACAGATGGGTTTGATTCATTTAAAGATCATTTGCACTAGGTATTCGCATGAGCAGGAAGGTACGTTGTTGCTCGAACAATTATCTCCCCACTCGTAATAAACTAGGAGAGATGTCATCGCGTACCCGGTCTGATGTCGAGGCCCATTCACAAGAGAATATTGGAATCTTCTGGGTCGAGATACAGTCATGGCAAATGGTAAACTAATCATCATGTGCACTTGATCATTTCGGGAGCGGAAGTTCATACTGGAGCGTTTCCCGAGCTTTGATATTCTACGATGGAATTCAGCGACCCACTTGTCAGATTCCATGACCCTGTTTTATCCAATAAACCCTACCTTGAATCCCACATGGTATTAAAGTATAGATGGGATGATCTAGCCCTAGGCCCCGCCCAAATCTTAGCTCCTCTCCTGCTCAATCATAGGCAAAACGTCACTAGGCTTCTTAGTATGGAGATTCGATTTGTACATTAACGTTGCTCCTACACTTGACACGTTCTTGATCGAATCACTTGAATCTGCTCGTGCAACGTCCCATAACTTCGCCCTGACACACAAGCTCAGCGTTGAATTCTGAGCCATCCAGCGTAAGGTAAATGTCAAAGTAAACTCGGTAAAAGGTGCCCTGGGGCGTATCCATACGCTCAAAGTCTTTTTCCAGGTTTTTGCGCGATAGATCAGATGTAAGAGTTACGACCTCCTTAACCCCTGAAATCAGTTAGCGTCGAAAGTTTTACTTGAGGTAGGATAATTTACGAGGATCTTTGGTATACTCAGGGCAGACGTCATCATCGCACGCATACAATATGTCCTCATACATGAGGGTAGCTCCAGGAGCAACCTGTCGGAAGAAGGAGACCTTGACCGGTTCACCAATCTTGACTCTTTGTCCCTTCTGGACAAAAATTTGTCTTGTAAACTTGCATCGATCCTTACCATCCAGCGAAGGTACACGATATGCTTCCGGATGATGGCCCTCTTTGAAGGGCTGGAGTGTGGCCATTAGATAGTGACGACGAGCGACTCGAGAAGTAACGACTCGCTCGGTGATGCCAGCAGTTACTGCGCCTTTGACAATTGCTGCAACAGAGTCCATAGGTCGTACGACCTTAGCCTGGAATTGTGGCGGCACATGGAGTTTAATTTGTTGAAAGAGATACTCAGAGGCCCCAAAGCCACCGACAACGAGGACATTCTGAAGTAATCGATTTTGTGCTTGGATAGCGATGATCTGATTACGAACCAATTCTAGGATTCGATTGACGACGGGCTCGAAGCACTGCAATATTTCTTCATTAGTAAAGGTCATGTAGCCTTCCTCTATCCCAGCTTCAGGAAACTCGGCTTCGATACCAACATCCACTGCCCACTTTTGGTTGTTGTTACGGAAGTCTGCCTTGATCCGGTTCTCAAAATCCATGATACACTTGGCATAGACTCTACCGGCTGTCTTCGAGCCATCAGGTAGTTTCATCTTGCGGATCTTCGTTCGCAAGATATTGCTGAAGTTTCGATTCAAAGCTGTAGATCCACAAGAATCACCTGATCCCGCCGTACACTCTGAAACGGTGAAGGGCGACTCTTCTTCCACTTCATAAGCAATCAAATCAACTGTACCTCCACCACAATCTACGATCAATACTGCATCGTGAACTTTGAGGTTAAGTAGCCCAGCTTTGGAGCAGAATAGAGCTGCTGCTTCAGGTTCAGTTATAAGGGTTAGACGGTTGTCATTTTCGTCACGTAGAAATCCTGCTTGGATTGCTGCAGCCCGTGTTGCAGCTTTTCCGGCGTCGTTCCAGATGGCTGGGACGGTGAGGTAATACCTGATATTTCGCTCTTCTCGGTTAAAAACCTCACCCAAAGTTTTCTGTAATTGACTCCGCATGGCCTGACGAAGCTTAAAGAGATAATCAGCCGCCACATCAATCTCGGATTTGCCCGGAGGAAGCGGAGGAAGATTTATGGGATCAATATATGTGTTACCAGAAAGCATAAGTTGAAGCTTAAACCATTCTACTTTTTGCACACCCGGCTTTGCGTAGCCCGTTGGCGCAAGGGCATCCGCGATATCTGGACCCCAGCCCACAACTTTTTGGTACTGATCATAGTATAGTACGGTAGGAATCTAGATAAATCAGTATTCATGGTCTTGTGTAATAGCAGACTTTCGTACTTTTTGTTTGGTGTAAGAGCCTGCACCTGGCCATTCAGTTATGATATCCTCCTTAGCTTCAGTATTGGTGGCAAAAGCAAAAGCCACACCAGAAAATGTAGTACCCTATAATATTTAGATATAGTTTTGGGGTGTTTGTGAAGGAATAACCAAACTTACAAAATCAATTCCGACGATAAGCTGCGCTTTGCTTCTTCCTGCACCCTCTACTTCTACAGCATGGTTTCTGCTGGTATATGGTGCAGGAGTAATACTTTGACTAGTAGAAGCATACTGTGGAGGACCATATCCAGGTGGTCCTCCGGCGGATGGTGGCGGGCCACCCATACCACTTCCAGGGTGTACGGGAGAAAATCCAGCGGATGATGTATTGATAGGAGGGGGGCCACCGATAACTTGAGCAGGGGCCGATCGTGAGTTGCTCGGCATAGGACTTTGGCGGCCGATTCGGGCGGGTGCGGGTGCAAAATTGTTTGTGTAACTAGGAGGCCTCCCACCAGGATTCGGAGGGTTCATAGGAAGACTTGTTGAGCTGGAGGTAGCAGAAGTCAAAGGACGAGTATGTTGTTGTTGTTGCTGTTGTTGGTGCTTTGTTTGAGGCGTGGGGGAAGAAGGAGATTCGTCCAAGGAGGTTGTAGTGGCGCTGGTACCCGATTTACGTTTGGAGCCAAATCCAAGGCCTTTTAATCGGCTGTTTATAGAGCTAGAACTCATAGGTCCTATGGTGCCAATAGATGTATCAATACAGATGTGACGATAGAAGACTGAGAGACCTACAGCGAGGGATTGAAAAAGTAATTGAGGGGGAAAATAAGAATAATACAGGTATTAGAATGATCCTTTGCCCGAAAGTGACGGAGACAATGGAAAGCGAGACGAAGAAACAGATTGAATTTAGACTTACGGGTTGACTGGAACGTGATTGTACGCTGTTGATGATGCTGCGAGGGGAGAATTACACGCAGTTGGGTGCCATGTGACTCAATTATAGCTTAGGTAGAGGAAGGGACTGATGGGGTGGCCGAGTATGGATTTGGAAAGGCTAGACAACAATAGTTGTGATAAAGTGTGAAATGTCGCTAGCGAAGAAAGTACCCGTTGACCCTGCAGACGTTCTGGCGACAAAGTAGGCGATAGGGCAGAGTATATTTCGAGAGTGAAGAGACCGACAATGTCGATAAGGACTCCAATGGCAAGAAGGAAAGTGTTGCTTAGGAGAAAGACTGATTCGGCAACGGGGAAAATCGCCGGAGGCACACAGGGGACCAGCTTCTCGCTTGATGCAATGGGGTTTGGCGAGAGCGGAAGAAGTATATTCGTGATTGTTGCTGCTCACGGGGCAACTTCAGGTACCAATACTATTCGTATGCTCGCGGCTGGGCTAAACGTCATCGACCTGCAAGCCCAAGTTCATAATGTGGAGCAGAAATATACTCAATCCGTTTTCAACTTGCAGAGATAAGGACATATACGGCTACGTTATCATCAGTGAACGAGGTTGTCTGTGGGTCCTACATCGCCATTCCGCCCTTCACTTGTACCCCTCGAAAATGATGTGATGAAGAGATCACGTGCTCCTCCTAGCACGTTCCTTCACCCAGGTCTATCTCTCCTCTGTATTTTGGGAAAATTGGCGGCGGATGAAAGACAAGCTGTGGTCACTCTACATGTTGCTACTTTCGGCTAACTAGAAATCAGATTAGTACCATGGGGATGTTTCGCAAGCTAAGGGTTGATCAGTAGAGGATAGGTTTCTTTGGTCGCCCATAAAATCACCATTATGCTAGACCTAGACTCTTGTATAACTAGTACTATCTTTTCAACCCAGCTCACGGCCCCGACATTTATCCCCCCTTTGAATAGCAGGGTAGAACATGGAGGGCCAAGGAGTCCAACCGAGACTTAATTCTCCTCCATGAACGTATCAAACTTGTTTCTGTACTCTCTCGCTATCTTCATTGGAATTCTTGTAAACGCTTCTTCAGCTTGCTGCTTTGTAGTTGCCTGCCTGTCTATATGCTTGCCAGGGACTCTAGGCTGCTATTAGCTCGACCAACCTGGGAGCCTCTAGCCCCACTCTCGTCACCAAGACGCCGCCTCTGACCCCACCCAAAAAATCCAATTAATTACCTATTTTGCAGTCACATATAGCCATAAACAGCCATCAACAGGAATAGGAAGCCTAATTAGTGCTCCTCCGCACCATTCAAAACGTCGTCTCTCACTAAAAGAAGGGCCTGCTCGCCCTGCAATGTCCAAACTACGCCCGTCCATCCCGCCAAGTTCTCCAGGCCGCTCACGGTGCAGCCACCGGGTAAAAATCTTGTCACCCGCCAACCTTTAGTATTCCTTGTAGTTCTTACTCTACTCCTCTTTGTACGTTCCCCCCGCCCTATATTCGTCACACCCCTTTCTAACCATCTGTAGCTGGCTCCTTTCTTGGCCGCACATTATCTTCAACCTATTCCAAGAATACCTTTGTTCACCACCAAGTTATCACGTTTCCCCTCGATCTATCTTTCTCCAGCTAGCATTGACGAGCTTCATTCTCAATTAGCTCCAGCCCTATCCAAACCTCGACACCGCACAATGGTGCTCAGCGAGGCTGCAAAAAAGGTAGCCACCGAGTTCCTCATACCCGACGAGCAAGTTCAGAAGATAGTATCCGAATTCATCAGTCAGCTCAGTATGTCCTTAAACTCAAAAATCCTCAAATGATAAATTGGAGCTAACAGAGCCATAGAAGAAGGGCTTGAAAAAAATGCAACCACCATGAGTCAAATTCCCACCTACGTCACTTCTGTCCCCAATGGAACCGAAAAAGTTAAAGAGCTTCAGTAATAAGAGATGTTACAACTAACTTTCTGAAGGGATTATTCCTAGCTGTTGATCTCGGTGGCACTAACTTCCGTGTCTGCTCAATTCAGCTCAACGGCGATTCCACTTTTAATCTAATTCAGTCTAAGGTGCCAATCCCTAAAGATTTGATGGTCGCCAAGACCGCGAAAGAACTATTTTATTTCCTAGCAAAGCAAATAGAGCTTTTTCTTAAAGACCACCATGAAGAACACTTCGCTGCTTACACTCAGCGTCGCCAAACTCTGAGTACTCTTCAAGGATATCGCGAAGTGCACATTTTCCGCCTCGGTTTTACATTCAGCTTTCCCATACATCAAACTGGTATTAATAAGGGAACACTTATGAGATGGACGAAGGGGTTCGATATTCCCGACGCTATCGGCCAAGACGTTTGTGCTCTGCTCCAACATGAAATCGATCTCCTGGGCTTGCCCGTTAAAGTGGCAGCACTGGTGAACGACACTGTAGGTACTCTTATGGCCCGCTCTTACACAGCCCCTGGAAAGACGAAGACTCTTCTAGGAGCCATCTTTGGTACAGGTACCAACGGTGCGTACATGGAAAATCTCTCCGCTATCACTAAGCCTCTAGAGGGACACGTAGATCGAAGCACAGGCGAGATGGTCATCAATACAGAATGGGGGTCCTTCGATAATCACCTTAAAGTTCTCCCTACTACCATCTACGACGCAATACTTGATCGGGAAAGCGTCAATCCCGGCTTACAGATGTTTGAAAAGCGTATTTCTGGTATGTTCCTAGGTGAAATCCTTCGTATCACGCTCGTAAAGCTTATGAATGATCCTACTGTTCCTCTATTTCAGGATGATAACTCGGCATCGAATGATTATCATTCGACCACGACAGTAGATGCTCAATCGCCACTTTTCAAAAAATGGGCGGTTGACTCCTCTATCTTGTCGATTGCCGAAGCTGATAACTCGCTCGGGCTTCGTGCATTACGTCAAGAAATAGAAAAGTCACTCGGAGTTTCGGCCGCGAGTCTTGAAGATGCGCAAGCCGTCAAACTAATTGCAAATGCAATTGGGAAGCGTGCCGCTAGGTTGGCTGGTTCAGCTCTAGCAGCTGTCATAATACACACTGAGCGCCTAGAGCAGATTACTGGGAAAACCAGCAATATTCCATCCACCTCTGATATCTCGCAGAACCTACGGAAGCTTGAACTAGGATCAGCAGCGTCCGCAACACTAAAAAAATTAGCCGAGGCATCTGGTTTGACAATCAATGAAGAGGATTTTGTCGATATTGGTGTAGATGGTAGTCTGGTAGAATTCTACCCGGGATTTGAGGAGTACATGCGTGAGGCAATCCGTGCCATCGAAGCGATAGGAGTAATAGGAGAACGAAGAATCCGCATAGGTATCTCCAAAGATGGTAGCGGCGTAGGTGCTGCGTTGATCGCACTGGTTGCCGCCGAGATGGAGCTGCGAGAAGGGGCAGAAACGGGTGTGTACGGGCGGGGCTTCCAAGAAATGACTTGCGCTGCCAAATGATGGGTTTGGATTAGAAGGCTGGTACCACTAGATTCACGAAAAAAGTTGGTCTCTCGTGTTATCCGTCATGTGAATATTCTTTTACTAATCATATAGACCCTGTGGAAATAACACGACCTGATAAATTTGAGGCGCATAACGTAAAGTCCTATTATAGAACCACAAGAGTATAGAGCTTAACTGGCGATCACTGGAAGCTAAATTAACCGCAGGACAGTCTCTACGAATCTGGTACCAAACAACATGTCATACCGCCATGGTAGACTAAAGCTCCTTAATTGGACTCACCAACGAAGAGACATATAATACATATCTTAACGCTTGATAGTGGCTAGTTTATTTGGCCATCCTAGTTTACGGATCCAGTTTTACAACTTTTGGATTTCTCATGATACTGATTTCTGGCATGAACTGCCTTGTCAGATATTCTTGTAGGGCTTCACACTGCCTTTCCACCCGGGCAACGTGTTTTTGCTTCACTCCTTTGAGTCCGGATGATAAGCATGCTTTGTTCTTAAAGGAAAGAGAGCAAAGTGTCGCAGGCCCATGTTGCCATAAATATCAAACAAAGTTATGGCGTGAGGCCGATACGTATAACTTTCCCTCTAAATTTTGGGCGTTGTGCAAAGGACTCCATATAGATGACCTCTCGAAAAACGAGTGGGCGATTGATGGTCGGAAACAGAGCCACTCTTCTTATTGTGGTCTGATTACCATTTGGAGTGCTTTTGATGGAGGAATTTATTCTAATCTTTTCATTAAAAAATTACGTCAATAACACACCCCGCCTTCTATGGACAAGTAGCATTCCTAATTTCCGGATGCTGTTGCGATAGATATGATTAATTCGTTGTAATATATACTAGAGCTTTCCAATGATATAATATTAAGGCACAAATTGTTATCATTAAGACTCTCAAATTTGAGTAAAAAGCTACTGTTATGATTAGTTATTAGAATTTTACAAAAATACTCGACCTCATAGGGTACGCCTTCTCAAGTTAGAGGCAGATATATGTTGAAGCTATTCCTAGTCGTGTCTTGTATGAATCTGTTCAACTTTGTGAAAGATAAGGTTTGAGAATCATAATTCGAAGTAACTAGTATATAATGTAGTAATTAAGGCGTAGATATCTTGTAATAGAACGAGTGTTAATTTGCTGTCATCCTGTTATTAGGTTGCCAACTAGAGTTTTACTTGATCCACTTCCGAATTCTTAAGTAGATTTTAGCCATAAAATGGCTTCAAAAAATTAGAATAAGCCTCCGAGTACGATTAGAAATGTCGAATTGTAATGTTGTGGGCATGGTAATCTTTGGTAGCCTCGCGAAGCTCGGCTTCTTCAACAATCTCATCAACCTCATCTTGTAGCTTAACCTTATGTGACTCGTAGTTTTGTATTGAGAGTTGATAGTCACCACCATGAATATCGCGCCAGCCATTGTGTTTGCATTTTTTGCGTGGTTTCAGACAGATATTCTGTAGTTCAGCAGCCATAGAGCTGGACTCGGCTACAGTTTCGCCAGGAAAATTCAATGGCATCCCGATTGAACTGGTTTCTTCGGTGCGTGGGCCAAGGACACCAGTCTCGAAGGCTAAATTTCCCTCTGCGGTGTTCTTCCACTGAAGGAACTGTGACTGGTTCATAGCAAGTCGATTATCATAACCGCATATGTCCTTAACTTCAAGATTAGGAATTAGTGCAGCGGTTTTGCAACGCTCATGAATCATAACAAGTAGTTTCTTTTGGGCGTGGACAAGGTCAATTTTCGCTTCAAGGCTGGATTTTTGTGCACGAATCAATTCAATCCGCTCGTTTTCTTCAGTGGTGATATAGCTGAGCCCAGCTGGGTAATCTGCTAAGATATCAAAAGCTGTAGAGAAGTTGGATATATTGAAGAAACTTACTCGGATCAGTTGATGTAAGTTTAGGCTTCGTGCCTAAGGATAACCATTCATGGCGGTCCTGAAAATATCTGGCCAGCGAAGCAACCTCAGCTTTACTCAGAGCGCCGCCAATTGTTGTAGATGGGTTGGATCGAAGCCTTTCAGTGACATATAACCAGAAATCCCGCCGATGTTGCTCGCTGCAGTACATGCTAGGGGTTGGCTTCATTTCGATCCGCGCCGCTTTTCGACAGCCGGAGAAGTTGAAATTGCGACACATCGGCTTATAGGTAGTAAACAGTACATCATTAGAGCATTTGGGGCAAATGTAGCGATCAAGAAGCTCCTTAGCGTCTTCCACATCAATATCAAGACATGAACAGTGGTACCAGTCTTTACAAGGGCCTTCACAGTTGACCATCATTCTGTGATCATCTGGACCTCGACATATGCAGTATTCACCACCATCGTTACTCTCTGAATCTGAGGGGCCGCTAGTCTTCGAAAGTCGATTAGCTGCCAAGGTTGACGCAGCTGAAATATCTACTATGAGTGTTAAAATTTCGAAACTGCATTCTAGTTTTTAGGTTCTAGATTTACCATCCTGCTTAGATTGCCTGAAATTTGCCCTGGAGCCAGGTTTAGGCCCAGGTTTTCTTCCAACGGTACCATTCCTTTTCGTTATTTCTTTATCTACCTTGGGTTTGGAGCTACCGCTAGCCAATGAAGCGCGACTAGATATCGTTGAAAGGTGTACAGAGTTTGTTGTGTTCTGGCTCGACGAGGAGTTAGCTATTGTAGATTTACGGTGTCGTCCACCCTCGGCCTTGACTTTCTCTGATATGCTCATCTGAGCTGTGTCAACCAAGGCTGCCGCATCGCGTGTGACTGCCGGAGAGCGTCCACGAAGGATAGGCATATTTGAAATTGTGAGGTTGGATTCTAAGTGGGCCAGTGAGTTTCAACGAAATTTGCCGGGGTTTCCAGGCGAGTTATTGCCTCTGACATAGCCTGACAATGTGAGTGTGATTTTTGTTCGCTGAAACGTAGGTAATTGCCTACATACGCTGTTGAAATGTGGAAAGCCCGGTAGACTGAATAGTGAAGCCCTGTAAACATATATGTTTCCGAAAAATCTTTGGTCCAGGAAAATTGAATGATAAATGCCTATCTCTTAACCAGATTGTCGGTGGCAAATTTTCGCATATCCACCGACGAAACTTATACGAATTGGCCGAATGTGTGGCGCTCTCTTTGCCGATTTCAGATCACTTATCTAAATGGGCAGGCTCTTCTCCAGGCAAACTTTTGATGGCTTCACAGATACTCGGACATTGAGGATGATAGGTGATATTAGATTCAAAGTTACGACGATCGCTAGCTATAACTCGGTAGGGACCGGGTATCATACTGACCGCGATGATATTTTAACTGAAATGTCTTTCATTAATGAGCACTTTTTCACCGAAAGATTTTTATCTATCCTAATTCATGGCTTTGTGGAATATGCAAGTCCTATCTATCATCAGGTCCTGGATAACTAATTCCCGGGTAGTATATCCTTTCTTATGCCTCCTTCACTGCTGCCGTTGAACAGTACCACTCCTCGCAAGTTTCATTCGACTACACACCAATCAGAGAGTTATGACCTCCGCTACTCGTCCTCTCCAACTATCAAAGCGATGGCTAGTTGAAGATGTATCATACCTGTGAAAATTTGCCGAGACTGCTGTTTTATTTTTTTTTATTTTTTTGCATCAGATTTTAATTGTGTATGCAGCTATCTAGCTATGACACAATATCAAAGAAAAGTACAGAAAAGATGACTCAATTTACAAGAATAACACTTATGCCTCGGATTTCATTTGCAAGTACCACTGCGAAGTTATGGCGGCTTTTTCTTCGCCCCAAGTCAACTCCCATCCGTGAATACCCACCCAGGGGAACGCCTCAAAAACCCTGAGTTATCCAGACATACCTCCATCATCCATAAACTTTTCTCCGCGCGAAATGTGGTCTTAGGTGTCTCCTTCCCAAGTGGAGTAGGTGCCCAGGCTACTCAAACCATACTAGAGAACACCACCAGGAGGTGGATCACAACACCTTCCATCGTTTGCTTTTTTTTTTTTTTTTTTAAATCATTTAATGTGTATTCAGCTATCTAGCTATGACACATGACCGGCGCTATGTATACATATGGGATGACTCCTTTGACGTTAGAGACACTCATACTCTGGATTTCATTTGCAAATACCACTATGAGGTATGTTCGCTTACACAAACAGTCGAGCCTCCTCCGTTAGTACCCACCAAAGGGAATTTAAAAACCTTTGATTATCCAAGCATGCCTTCGTCATCCATGCATACCAGCGCCGCGAGAAATGTGGTTGTGTTTTGCCGGATTCGAACCAGCGATCTACTGTCTCAAGTGGGATATGTGTCCAAGCTATCCAGACTCTACTTGGCAGACCGGCCAAGATGATGTACCACCGCACCATCCAACCATGGCAGTTTTTATAGTGTCGCCTGGACTCTCGCAGCCGAAGACTTGGCACGCACAAAGCTCAATTTGTAAAAACTCCTTTCCAAAATTCAAAATTCAACACCCGTCGAGACTGTATCCAATCCTCTGCATCATCTTATTAACTTGTCCTGATCCCTCTCACATCCATCCCAAGGAATTGTCTTCCGGATTTGTGCGCCACGCTTTGCTTCCTCCGTCGGGTGTAAATATCGGCGTGGGCGTGTATCTGGCGACCAGCTAAGGCCAGAGAAAGTCGACGAGAGGTGTGGTCATTGAAGCGAGGATGTACTAGGTCGTACTTGTAAACTTGATGAGGCTTAGGTAGGAATCGATTTCGTTGGGAGTGAAAGATTGATATGGTGGAGTTATTTGAATTTTTGCCTCATGGGCCAACTTGTTCGGTATTGCGAAATTTGACTGAACTTGGCTCTGGGAGAATATTTCACTCCCAGGTTCGTAGAGGACACCGCGTACAGGTGTTAAGTCTTGACCTCCCCATCGTTTGCTTGTTTTTATAGTGTCAGCTGCACTCTCGCAAGCGAAGTCTTGGCGCGCACAAAGCTGAATTCGTAAAATTCCTTGCCAAACTTCGAAATTCCTTGCCAAACTTCGAACTTCCACGCCCGTCGAAAACGTATCACTCTTCTGCATCATCTTATAAACTTGTCCTGATCCCTCTCACGTCCATCGCAAAGAGCTGTCTCCCGGATTTGTGCTCCACGCTTTGCTTCCTCCATCGGGTATAAACATCGGCGTGGGCGTGTATTTGGTGACCGGCAGAGGCCAGAAAAATTCGACAAGAGGTGTGATCATTGGAATGAGGATGTACTAGATCGTACTTGTAAACTTGATGAGGTTTGGATAGGATTCGGACTCTTTGGGAGTGAAAAATTGACGTGGTGGAGTAATTTGAATCATTGCCTCGTGGGCCAACTTGTTCGATATTGCGAAATTTGACTGAACTTGGCGCTGGGAGAATATTTCACACCCAGGCTCGTAGAGGACACCGCGTACAGGTGTTAAGTCTTGCCCTCCGCCGAGACAGCTAAGTGCGGGGCTCTACTACCGATGTCAAGACTAAATCTGAAGACATGGCTATCCTTCCAACGCGTTTGGAGTAGTCAACTGGCCAGCCACTGAGGGCTTTTGTGGACCAGAGAGAATCGCTGTATCCCCAGCTTCCTCTCCGTTCCTCTCCGTTCCTTACCTCATTCGCGCCTCCCACCAAATTGTAGGTAAGTTTCGGCAGAGAATGTGTGCATAAGAGTAACCTAACCCAACTTCATGCTTCGTCTTGGGTGGAGAAGAATGCAGTAGACCCATCGACAATAGAAGTCCCCCGAACTGGCGTCGGGTAAGAATTTTGGCCAAAAATACACTGTAATGAGAGGCGGAGGTTTGAAGTGACATACTGAGAGATTTTTTAGTCTTCTTCTACACTTGAGCAAAGCCCTGTACTTGAAGTAGTCGCAGCGGCTCAAAATATACTAATAAAGTCAGAGCCTTTCTACTGTGAGAGCTTGTTTTGATGTGAACTCTCATTCAATCATGTAAACTGCAGTAGATGGTATACAGACCTATACCGGACGTGGTTATTGTGGCGACATCACCGACAGTTGTATGTGGATGAGATAAAGAATGTAGAATATTGTATATCATAGGATGGGATGCTCTACCAACAAGTAGATAGATGAGCTATGAGTATAAATAAGAGTATTCTCCTTCACGTAGATAGTAACCATTACTACAACAAACGATAGCATCTCTATAGACATTGTCATCCTACTTCAAATAGTTTCTGCAAAGGCTTGGTTACTTACCCTAAGAGGTAAGTACTGACAACATGACTGCTCAAACTTAATAAACCTCTGTAATATGCTCAACGCTCTAACCTTGAGCCAGATTTGCAGCGAAAAGCTTGTTGAGCGAGAGGCTTCAACTGATCTGGCAAAGTATGCAGTCAATAAATAGGAGAGGATCACAAATATACGGATACTTTTATCACCTGACATTTAGCCTCATCTACGAGTGAAACTGATTCGGCTATAGCTGTGGTACCTGAAATTTTTTTGGTGATTGCTCTATTGGGCGGCTAGATTATTTGTAGTTGTGAACTTGATACCTTTCTTTCAGGTATTTTAGATGAGTTTGAATTTAATAATAGTAAATTTAAGCCTTAAGATATCACAAACAATAGCTAATAAAGTTTGGGAATTTTTAATATTACTTTGCAAGAATTTTGGTTGAGGCTTGAAATCAAAATTACCTTACTATACTGATTTATAATATGGATTATATCTACCATCATCTGGGATTAATGAGAGTGATGTCACTCTAATATGCGCCAACAATAGTCATGTAGCAAGGCCATAACATCAAAAATATGTGAATACTAGGTAGAAACTAAATGATACTTCTCTATTGTGAAAGTACGTTAAAGCACAAGATTATTACAAGATCAATCGCATGATCTTTTGATACTAACTTAGTACAAACTCAGGAAAGGAATTTGGTAAATCTGCCCAGAACTTTCCAGAAAAAATATCTTTTGAATGATGATTATCTTATATATTTGCCTCGACTGATTTACAGATCGATGAGCCTTTTGAGATACTATTTTAATTGAGTCGATATCCCGTAGTAGATTTAGTCAGGCTACAAAATTTTCAAAACATGTTTGCCGTTAGGACTTGAGTAGTTACATGAATCAACACTTTACAAATTGTTGAAAGCGGAACCCATAACTTGGGAGATGAACCGTTTCTGAGTTGAATTTAAACATTAAGAGAAAGTATCTCAAATCAGAGCTGGTGTCGACATGGCTATTGTTGGGGCATGGCTATTGTTGGGGCATAGCTATAGTTCCAGGTCTTCTGTTTCAGTTCTCGCACAGCCAGAGCTAGCTGTCTTGTCCAAGGGTTGGACAAAGTTGGTACTGTTGATTCTGTTAAGGCTGTTAATGCTTCCCAGCAGCTTTTTTGGCCTGATCAAGGTCTCATTTTGAAAGCTTCTCTTCTAGCGTGAACAGTTCAGAACATTTACCATCTATACCATTAAATCGATAAAATACATGCTCAATGTACTGGACTTGTTCTCCAGTCGGTAGCGTACCTTTAAATTCGCTATCGGGAGTGCATGTAAGAAGGAAGCGAGTTGCTATGTTGGTACCCTCAGCAACTATTATCTGTACATCTATGTTAAAGTCGGGTGAAGCATCCATTGCATGAAGTAGGGCACCTTCATATTGAGAAATAGTTATTGGTCTGTTATTAAAATTTAATGTCGAGTTCATGTAAGGACTAAGGTCAAGAGGTGAAAACCGCACGTGTGAGTTGAGAGCTGCCAAGTAGGCAACGAATAACTCTTTCGGGCTCCTTCCCGGCGCAATCTTAATATACATCTCTTACAGAGTTAGTTACGAAGAAAGAATTGTGGACCAAATAGAAGGTAGGTAGTTTTTCTCTTTCACATCCCACGATCAACGCCGCTCGTATAGGCAATTCTCTTTTTTTGGAGAGTAGGCTCAGGGGAAAAATTGCAGTCGTATGCCAATTGCTGCTGAATTTTGGCGACGAGTTTTCAGGAAGATTTCTTTCAAATTTTGGATAAACGGGCAGTAAGGAGTTAAGATTCAGAATGTGGCTTTTGAAACATGTTTTTTGGAGTCACCTGCCGACTTCATATACCTCTATCTTTCCATGAACTCGATCTTCCAGCCTGCATGTGCCTTACAAAAATTAATTGGCGTGGACGAACAGGATTCGTCCTTGGCCGCAGGTGGTATGCGTTGTGCAATCGAATGTTCTATTTTTAATTCAAGCCGCATAATTCTGTCATGATTAATGATATCAAGACCCATACTAGGCTGAGAGGCATTAACAACGTTGAAGAACAGAGTTCCTTAATATGCTTGGCGTAGAAGAGTCATTCTTCAAATCATCAAGCCACCCAGAGGGCACCGATCAAGTTGTTCCTCAACCTTTATAACGCTTTTTGCTTGAATATTTCGGAAGACAAGGGCCATTTAGGCTTAAATATCTCAGTAAGATTTTGCGGTCATTAATAGACATAAGCTTTGAGGAGGTAATTCTTAGCAATTATTGTCAATGCTGCCTACAAACCTTGAGCTTTCCACTTAGAGTTTTTAGAGCCAGGATTTAGATTAACCCTAGCGAAAACGGCTTGTATTGTCGGTGGATCTACAGCATTCTTCTCCACCCAAGACGATGCATGAAGTTGGGTTAGGCTACTCTTATGCACACACTCTCTGCCGAAACTTACCTACAATTTGAACATGTCCTATGATTTGGTAGGAGGCGCGAATGAGGTAAGGAACGGAGAGGAACGGAGAGGAAGCTGGGGATACAGCGATTCTCTCTGGTCCACAAAAGCCCTCAGTGACTGGCCAGTTGACTACTCCAAACGCGTTGGAAGGATAGCCATGTCTTCAGATTTAGTCTTGACATCGGTAGAGTAGCCCCGCCCTTATCAGTCTCGGCAATTTTTCACAGGTATGATACATTTTCAAATAGCCTCGCTTTGATGACTAGAGAGGAGGAGTAGCGGAGGTCAAAATTCTCTGATTGGTGTGTAATCGAATGAAACTTGCGAGGAGTGGTACTGTTCAACGGTAGCAGTAAAGGAGGCATAGCTGTTCATGGACTAAAGATTAATAAGCCATATATTTGTCAATTGACTTCGGGCTCAGATAGAAATGTGCAAGGTAAATTAAAATATACACATATATGTGTTCAAGTAATAGCGTAGTAATACAAGCTAACCGCGTGAGTTTCTAGGTAGCTCTTCGAGTAGCGACGATAGTGTCACAGTCATCACGGTTGGTTGGTGCAGCAGTACAATACTTTGCCCTGTCTGCCAAATAGTTTCTGCATAGTTTTGACTCATCTCCCACTCGAGACAGGAAATGGCCGGTTCGAAACCTGCATGAATAGTATATTTCTCGAGACATTTCTGCGCTTGGATAATCAAAGGTTTTGAAATTATTCCCCTTTCAGTAGTGCCGGTGTAATGGCTCAGTATACTCTGGTTATTTGGGATAGCTAAGAAGAAATCTATCGGAATCGAAGTCGTGAGTAAATACTAGCACATCTACAATCGGAGACTCCTCATCAATATGGGTATTTTCATTTTCACGTGAGCCCTTTACTTCATATCTTATCTATATAGCTGAATACGATATTATAAAAGAAGCGTCCTCTATTTCAATCTTACCCCTCACCATCTCACCTCGACGACCGATAGAGGTGTTGTTCTGATCTTAGACAAGAGCTTGCCTCATCAATTTCAAGCTATCTCCAACTACAAATTTACGACGCAACTCATACTCGTGAGGAGAATAAGTCGTGAGATGTGTAGCCTGGATTATAGCTTGTGGGAGAATTTTTGTCCGATGGAGCTACACAACTTGAGGATGTACAGGCGACTAGGGCTTGGAATGAGATAAGAGATCTCTCATAGGCTTGCTGAGTCTGAAATTTTCGAGTCGTTTATGACATTAGTATTGAAAAATGTAACCCACTACTTTGTTCGTGGATTTGTAGGTAAAGGGAAGTTTATGCAAAAGTGAAGGATAAAAGGATGTCAATCCAATTACTATACTAAACACAAGTACCAAACTCCTTTAGGGGACTCTTCTTAACACCTCTCAGTGGTGTCCCCTACGAACCTCCAGCTCTCATTGTAGAGTCTACGGAGCCGAAATTGGGTGACACCTTTTCAGCTTTCGGCTGAATTATTTCCCTCTCGGTCAAAGATACGCTTCTGATGTAATGTATGTGTTGGAGATATCGCGCAATGTTATGGGCGCAATATTCATGGAACGAAAGTAGAAGTTGACTAAAAGAGTGTCATGTTCGGATTACAGCTAAAAGTGTGGGAAGTGTGCGCTACAAGTACAAGTGTAAGCGACACAGAGCCTAAGCCACAGCATAAACGAGTGTGGCGCCATCTAGGCATAGAAAACCCCCAATAACCTCCTTGCGCCCACGCCAAACAGCCGCTCATATGTCCAATAGGTAGCCTGAAGCGCTACCATATTACCTGTTCCAACCTCTTAAATACGCACGAGATCGTGTCGGGAACCTAGACGAAATGGAGGGCCCATGCGTCCACAACACTCCGTGTCTCCATTTCCAACAGTATGTTCTGTGGGGATTGCATTGGATGAGTGTGTTTTGTTCTGTTCATTTACGTGCTAGGTAGAGTAACTACGGTTGCACTCCTACTGGAGCTTAAGCACGGGCGGGGTCGGGCCGGATCAGGTTAACTACCGTAAAGTACAGATAGCCTTGTCCCACTTTAATGACCGGACCACCACAGACTTCACCTACCGTGTTGCCACGGCTGAGGTTCCGAGCGCGCGTTGTATACTTAGTATTAAATGGGTGTGGGTGTAAGATTGGGGTGATATCACGTGGTATCTCGTGGCTCCCAACTACAACGGATCATGTGTAGAGCTTGAGACTACGTGAATTCTATGTCCTTCAAGTGTCGGATATCTAAGTGTCTATATACATTGACTACTCCTTACTCCTCAACGCTAGTAGATCTACTGCTGTGGTCGCGGGCTGTGACCGCGGGCTCTGACAGTGCGATTTGCTGTGCGTGAGATCATAGGATAATTACGATTACGTTTGTGTGCCACGTTTCCTACATCTAGCTAATTCGTGCCCTGTAGATCTATCCGGGATCTACACGGCGTCAAGTTTGCGATGGGGCGTCGGTAGGGGTTTTAGCGTGCAAACTAACACTTCTTAGGCATAGTCACCTTCCATATTGGAGTTAGCCCCCGTATTTGTGCAAATTTTCGAAGAAAGTTGTATGGCAGTTTTTATCTGGACACCATAGTTTGCAGTGGGTCATTTCTTCGTACTAAACCTAATTGGCATAATGATCGGCTGCATAACATTTGTGCATTTTTGCTACTTGATTTTATAACTCATTTACAAGAGTTCAAAGGTTTTCGAATTACAAAATAGAGCCACAGTCTTATCTTAACCTTGGGTCTGAACTTTTGACTCGAATATTTTCAAGCCTTAATATCTGGTTGGTCCCCCATCCGCATCTATCACAGCTTGACATCTTGCTGGCATACTCTTCATGAGTCTCACAAGATCTTCGGAAGACACAGAATCCCATGCCTCCTTTACGATCATGCAAAGAATATCTTAAGGTCGCTGATTTCCGCAATACAGATTCAGGTGATGACGCTGGGTGTAATCCGTCATCCTATTCAAACTAACTTCAATTGGGTTAAGATCAGTCGAGTTGGCCGGCCAGAAAATCGGTTGAGTGATCCTCTGGCCCTGCCTTCCAAATTATTTGCTGCTGTGTGGGCAGAAGTATTGTCCTGCATTACGGAAAGCCAAAGTCTCATCGAGACCATGCCATCGATAAGCGGAACTATTTTCTCTGGCCCTGCGAAGCAACCCCAGAACGTCCAGCCGACCCTCTTCGATTTCTCTCCAACACAATCAGTGCTATGTTCTTGGGAAGTCTAGCTCATAATGTTAGAGCATTAAATTACTATCTTCTCGAAGAGAAATGCACGGACATTTCTTGTCACCCATTCTCTAGAACGTCTTCCATCCTCTACCCAAGTTTCGTCTGTCCATAAAACTGACATCTAGTCTTCATATGTCCAATTGAGATGAGCTTCGGCCCATTCTTTGCGTGTCTTCACAGTTTTTTGAGATAATGGAGGCTTTAGACGAGCCACATGTTGTTGATATCCTCTTTTTGTAAGTTCTTTTGGTATTACTCGCTCGCTAACACCAAGATGACTGCTGGGGCCAGAGGCAAGTCCCAGAAATGTTTTGCGGCGGTTTACAGGTGAAGACTCAGGGTAAGATATTATGTGATCAACACCATCTGCTTTTAGTCTTAAAAATGTTCTTTTTCTATTTTTGGGTGAGACAGTTCCGCGGTGCAGCGAATAACTAACTTGTCCCCGATGAATGCCTAGTTACGCGGCAATCTGCGTCTGGTTTTTGCCAGATTCATGGAGCCCATAAATCTTAAAATTTCTTTTAACTTCAATTCGTTCATTTTAATTTTCTACTCCCTAAAATTTTTTGATCTCTGGATAATTGATTGATTCGAGGTGATGAAGGTGGGGTTTGAGGTGGATTCATCTGCAAAACAAGGTTAGTATCGAGGAAAGCCATGTGTCTTCTGAATAAATAACTTTGCCTTTGAGAAATCTAATTCTTATTGTCACTCAAGCACAAGGTTTTGTTTTGTTTTGTTCATTAACGTGCTAGGTTACACGACTACCGTTGCACTCCTATTGGAGCTTAAGCACGTGTGGGGTTGGGCCGGATCAGGTTAACTACCGTGAAGTACAGATAAACCTTGTCCCACTTTAATGACCGGACCACCTCAGACTTCACCTATGTGTTGAATCATACCAAGCCTAACCATCCAGAAACCCGCTGTATACACGCCGTAGCGCAATTTCCTCCTCAGTCTCGGCCACCACGCGCCCGAGCCCCTTGACATCCTCATTGACTCCGAAATATAATTGCCGTCCAAGATCTCATCATTGCTCTAGCCTTCCACCTTCAAATCGTACCGTCGGGTTGTTGTCGTCATTGGGGATTTGTGTAATCCCATCGGTGTATCTTCCCTCTTCTTCCTCCTTTGTACACGTCCCGTTTCCATCATAACTTTCCTCATTTGGGCGTGTGTAGGTAGATGATCAATGAAAAAAAAAAAAAAAAAGGTAGATGATCGTACGAGTAAGGAAGTGAGTCGCAGGTATAGGATCGACCGAGAAATTCTTCGTCGCAAATACATAGGAGTTTGAGAGATGTCGGATATTTGAAATACGACCCCCAGATAGACCTAAATCTATTCGTGAATCGGATGTAGGTGGTGATGAGTTTTTGTTCGACTTTGTTTTGGCTGTGAAATCTTTGCCGACTGATTTTTCGACCAAAATAACGAGTGCAACTCCTTCAAGTCGAAAATCCATCAAATAAAACTCATCCCACCCATTATCGCGACTGAATATCGTCTGCGGGAGAATATTTTACTCCCAGGTTCGTAGAGGGCACCACTGACAGGTGTTCAGCCTTCGCCCTCCTTCCAAAAAAATTGTGTGTATGTTCGTGTTAATTATACTGCTTGAGTCATAGACTACCTAGCACATTGGGCTCCTTTGTGACCCACGCTACACCTTGTACAGTGGTCCATGCCTCTTTTGTTACTTGAAAGATCATTCATATATTGTTGGAAATCTAGATTCAGTATGTATGATGTTAAGATCTCTAGGTATGATCATAAAAATTAATTGAAATGATTCGATTGCACAAGATTAAGCTCAGAAAATCGACATAAGGTTCAGTGATATCTGAAATGTAGTTGCTAGGAAATGTTACCTCGCGATAATTGAGTGACTAGTTGTTGCCAGATCACTGGAAGTTTGGGATCACTAAAGCCTTGGGAATCTATACTTAAGGATAGGCTCATCTACCTGTGTTGAACTAAATTAACGAAACATTATGTATTATGAATTCATATTGAGAGGAGAGTTCGATATCCTAAACAACTGTCGATAAATCCTTGTCCGAAATTGTATACTTGTTCTGTGAGACATTTCCTAGAAATCCTTCACAATCTCTAATATATATTGCCCCTGATGGATAACCATTCAGCTCAGTATTTACCCGTGGAACTCACCCACCCTTTCCACGGAACCGTCTACCCAAGAAAAAATACAAATGGTAGCAATGGAAACTGCGTGCGCGGTAAAAAGTTTCAAAAAACCTACAGCCCCAGCCAGGCGAGGCCTAGACACTGGGACCACATGAGGTGCGCATATTCATCTCTATCTCCCTTCTTTGTAACAGTCGAGGCTGACTTGATCCAATCAGTCGTCTCCGTATCGGGTGCTGGGTACGCTCCGGAAACTCTACAGTGAAAGCTGGAGGTTCATGGGGGACACCGCCGACAGGTAATGAGTTTATGTCCCCCGAATGACGTCACTGAGTGTATCTCAAACTAAAGCGATAAGTTTAGTTTTTGGGTTGGAAACCTACAGGTCACGACACCTGAGGCAAATAAAAGGATCCATTCGAAAGATAGCACTTTTGAAGATGAAAAAATCTTACAAAGCTAATCATCCTAGAGAAATAGGTAGATTTAAAAATGAAGGTTTACAATTTTCAATTATTTTCAATGCAAAGTGTCTTGCTAGATGGTAGTTCTAAGAATAATGCTGAATCGTTGACCCCCTGAAAGCTTTAACTATAATTTACTCGACTGAAGATTTAGTCTGTAAAAAATAAAAGTAAAAATCTCGCAGAAGACGAAGCTAACTTAACCATGATCAAACGGCGATGCAGAGGGATCCTTTACCGTCACTACTAGTTTCAATGCTGGTCATACCGGGACTATTTCTACTTTCACCATCTATCTTTTAATTGGTACAAGTTTCAAACTTGGGCTCTACGAAGTCTGTAAACTTCTAAAGGTTTATTGACTTGCTTTGATCACACATGTCACTACAAGCAAGATTTAACTGCTTCGTGCGGATAATTGGACCGTCAGAAATCTGCGGTGTTGGGTGAATAAATTATGGCCCGTTGCCTGGGGCGGTGTTTGTATAAGTAGAACGGTTAATCCAGGGACTTTGAAGCCCATGAGTAGACCTTATTTGATAAATATTTTAAAGGGCAGCACCTTGAAAAGGCACTACATTTCATTGCGAACCTGGATAAAGTTTTGGTAACGTTGCATTGTCCTGCGTCGACAGCTCTTGCCCCACACTATCATTGGTATGGTAAGTAGGAGGAAGAAAAAGGCTAAGCAAGTTAGTCCGATTATACTGTGAGAAACACCGTTGTTCTCAATCCATGTATTTGCCGCAAAAGTAAAAAGTAAACCAAGAGAATTGTTTATCAGACTGACACCGACCATACCCTCAAGAACCATCTCAGGGTATGCATCCATCAGATATGACATGGACAGGTCCCCTGCACAGCCCCATCCAAACCCTATCATGATTAAGCCCATATATGGCCAGGGCCAGCTCCAGTTCTTAGCTGTGCCCATGCCAAAAATTAATAGACCAACTGGGCTTAAAATGATACAAGGGAGCATCATCCACAAACGATCTTCAGCCTCTGTGATGTTTTGCCTACGCTTTGCCACGTGTAAGACGAGGCGGTCTGAAAGATATCCTCCCCAAAAACACCCGATGACAGCTCCAATTAATGTCGGAATATTCATAAGTCCCGATTGAGAGGTACTGTAATTACGAGGAGATTGCATCCAGCTACCTTCTTCGAGAGTAAGATAAAAAGTGAGCCAGGCATCTTGGGCGCCCCATTGAATTCCGCTGTAAAGTACCGCAGGGAAGGTGAGAACACGGAGAGAGTGAAGCAGTAGCGAAAAATATTGCTTCATGCCCGTACCAACTAAGATGGGCGCACGACGAATGAATCGGATACGTTGCAAAAATGGACGGAACTCTTCCAGCGAATAATTATCGGAAACCTGCAGACTTTGCTGTGAATTCCCCGTCGGAGTAGCTTTGGTGTGGCTACGCATTTTTCGTCCGGCGCTAGAAGGTAGCCGGGCCGTGCGCGCATCTAATGCGCGTCTAGAGGGGTAGTTGCCTTCGAACAATGTTTCTTCGAGACCAAAAAGAAATACTACGAGTGTTATGCTGGAAATAATAACTGATGTTAAAGCGACCCATCTCCAGCCGAGATTTTCTGCCACATAGCTAGCAATGAGAGGCCCAAGAAAGGTGCCGATACTAGTTGCCAGCACATACATTCCCAACACAGTTCCCCTCTGATGCTCAAACCAAACTTCGGAAAGTGATAGTTGCACGTTCGCCTCGGCTGTTGATTCGGATACACCGACAAGGAGCTGATTCCAGATTGCATCCTGCGTATTTTTTATTTGAGACATCCAAACGGCTCCGAGTATTCCTAAGGAAATACAGATTAAGTATGGGAGTCGACGTCCATAGAGCCAGGCTACGGGACTGAGTAGAAATGTTCCAATAGCGATTCCTAAAAAAGTGACTCCTCCGCTTATATTCATTGCGGCAAAAGAAATGCCCAATTCTCTGTTGACACCGTCTTGAGTGGAACCAGCATCGTTAGAAGTTGCAGCTGTCAACCCTGTAATATAACAAAGAAGGAACGTGTGCCAGTATTTCCGCGGTAGCGACCAATTCAGCGGGTCATTGAGAGAATTCGAAGGCTGCACTGCGTGGCGTGAAGGATAGTTTGGGTCTGTATCTGAGAAGATTCGTGAAGTTCCTGGTATCAAGTCTGCATCTTCCATTGCTTTAAGGGATTATCTTTGGAAGTCATGGGAAACCGATCGACCAAATTGCGCAGGCTTCCGAAAGAGATAGCACTGCTCTGGTTGACAACAAGATAGGTTAAAGTAGACTCTCTTAAGTCTAATGGTAACTGAAGAGGTATCGAACATTGTACTAGTCGCAGGATTTGATCGTACTAGAGCGATTTTCGTACAAAATGAAATAGATAGAACGCTAGGCAAGTAACAGCATAGCATGTGGTCTGGCAAAGTTCCGGGTCCTCCTGGATCAAGGGAACAGGAAGCGGGTCGCAGAGACGGAAAGACGCAGTTCAATATCTAGACGCAGCGAAGATCTCATGTGAAGGGTCTTTCGCTTCCAGATGGGGCCTTTTAAAAATCGTATTAGCATCAAATACTTTGAACGAAAACGTGCTGATGTAAAAAAATTACTTTTTGACAGGCGGCACGAAAGACATGACTGTAGATTTAGTCCCATCCATTAAGCCCTATTAGCCATTGGCAAGGCCTTGCTCAGTGCCTGCTCGAGTCCATCCTTCCAGCTTTTTCGGTGAGACCTAACTTAAACTCGGTATGTTTGACTACCAAATTAGGTAACAGCCATGTAAACGTAGTGTGATTAATTGGAGCAATTATCGATTGATCGGGAAGAGCTACATGTGCACGATTTGTTGCTAATCAGCCAAGGCTCAAGGCTTTCAATTAGATTCCACCAGTGCCAGAATATCTCGCCGCGGATATTTGTTTCCTAAATCACTTAGGCTCCTAAAGATCTACGTGCTGGATGAGCGGCGCGCTAGAGCTCCTTATGGTATTTCATCAACCATGGAAACCCCATTGGAGGCCCTGTTTCCGCTCAATTCCTAGCTTATGCACATCCTGTGAGCCTGACCGCTATTTTCTTTTTCTTCCGGTTCGCGGAGGTAAGAAATTCACCTCTAGCCTTATTAAACATCTACCTATCAGTCCGAGTTTTCGCTTCAACTGGCTCCCGCCGAAACAATTAATGGACCCCGTGGTTCGGTTTCATCAGCGGATCCAAATCCGTTTTTACAATTGTCACGACACACTTGTACCAAGCAACCCCTAATTACCTCATTCCTCCAATAATCCTAGTAACAGTCTAAGGTCATCGCCCCTTGTCATAGCAAATAGAAGGGAATATTTTCTCCGCAGTAATTATTAAAAAATCTAGCCACTCTCCGACCCCAATCTAGATCCTCAGGGATTAATTGCTGTTTCCCAAAAAGAACGCGCAGAAATTTCGAAGTAATAATACCCAGAAGGATTTAGCTATTGGAGACAATAGTCTCGAATAGCTGACTAAATGATCTTGTAGATCCCATGGAAATTTAGTTACGACGGCCACCGGACAGAACGAGTGATGAAATTTATAACCAAGCCCTCGGCATCCAAGGGAAGACAAAATTAAAACCAAAAAAGTGCTTAAAACAAGATTTGACTCCCAAGATACATCGGGCTACTCGTCGATATGAAGAATATTGAAGCACCTAGATGTTTCGTTCGCTCCTGTTTTGCAAAAAGACTCGAAAGCTTAGCCCCTCGTGGTATATTGTTTAATTCTCCCGAGATTTAGTTTCCGCTCCTCCACAACGCATAAGCAGTGGCTCTTTCTCGAATCTGGGATCAAATGCATATCTCACGGCAATGAAACGAATTTAAGTGTTTTATTCTCCTAGCTCTTTTGCCTAGCCAGATAATTCGAGCAACGCAAGCTCAGAAGTGGCTAGCTGAAGATCGCGTTATCATCCGTGGCAAACTTCCAAGTGATCGAATCAAGTTCGGCTGATCAGCTGCACGAGCATAGATTGCGACTGTGGCGTTCACTAGTTGAGAGAAAATTTTCTAACGGCGCTTAGCAATCAAAGGAAGTATTGGGGCTACTTGTGACCCATATCATCCCAGAATTTAAGAAAGTCAAAGCGGCCATGATACAGTTATTATGATTTAATGCTACTCAATGTGACAGTCTGAAAATGTTTCCCATCATGAAAGAGAGAGTGCAGCTGACCATTTAAAAACAAGCCAACGATGGAAGGTGCCGTGGTAATCTCTTGGTGGCACTCCAGTATGGCTTGAATTGCCTGGCACCTACTCCACTTGCGAAGAAGACGCCTTAGATTAGATTTCGCGCGGAGACAATTATGTGGATGATGGAGGCATTTCTGGATAAATCATGGGGTATGAGACGTTTTTCTGGGTGGATATTTACAGATGAGGGCTGACTTGGGGTGATGAAAAAGTATTGTGGTTATGAGCTATGCGCAAGTCACATTGCGGAGTGATGAGGAGTGGATGATGATATAATTTGTGGTTGACGGTGAGTAGCCTCATACGATAATATGCTGTAGGTATATGGACAGAAAGTATAAGACTAAACCTGTGTCCATTTATTGTGGGTACATCTATGAAACTATATACATGCTCGCCTAACTAGTACACTAGTGATGTATGCAGTGGCCTTGAGCCACACGCGATGCCCTAGCCTCGTCTACCTCGTTGTCTCATATCATAACAAAAAGCCGCCTTAACTTCGCAGCGGTGCTTGTAAATGAAATCCGAGGCATGAGTGCTCCTCTTGTTTATTGAGTCATCTGCTCTGTAATCTTTCTCCGATATTGGGAGACTATTCTCAACGCCTGTTAGTGGTGTCTACTACAAGCCTCCAACCCTCAATGTAGAGTCCACAGAGCCGAGATTGAGTGTCAGAATCCTCACTTCCATGAGGATTCCCAATCGCTTTCGCCGTCTGTATCGTCTTCATCTCTCAGTACGCCACCCTATCACCATTATCATTAAGCTAACCATGATCAGCTCAGATGCTAGGGTTGGAGCTCTATTGTCACCAACTCTTGATCATGGAGGAGTAGCCATCCGAAGAGTTTCTGGAGCGTACCCAGCACCCGATACGGCGATGGTTGATTGGATCAAGTCAGCCTCGACTGTTACAAAGAAGGGAGATAGAGATGAATATGCGCACCTCATGTGGTCCCAGTGTCTAGGCCTCGCCTGGCTGGGGCTGTAGGTTTTTTGAAACTTTTTACCGCGCACGCAGTTTCCATTGCTACCATTTGTATTTTTTCTTGGGTAGACGGTTCCGTGGAAAGAGTGGGTGAGTTCCACGGGTAAATACTGAGCTGAATGGTTATCCATAACGGGCAATATATCAATGATCTTTGAAGTAATAAAAGAGGATAGAACCATTAAACAAGGTGTGGCTTGGGTTAGAGAGGAGCTCAAATTGTTGGATAACCATAAACTCAAGCAGTACAATAAACATACCTCCTTCTCTCTCATGACCATTCATGTAATATCTTGGAAATACTGACTAATTATGTTGATGAGTAATGAGTTACCTGTTTAGGAATGGCGTTTGTTTCATCTAATTGTCCTATCTGAGTCCATTAGATTCGGTATGTTTAAATTTTTATCATAGTCTAGTCTGAGTCTATGGCTATGGAGGACTTCATCTGAGTCCATTACCATGTGGGACATGTAGATCCTCTTAGGAATGGCGTTAGGAGAGAGGGATAACTGCTGTATGTACGTGTTTACTTGAGTTAAAAAGGCAAGAGTGAAAATACATGTTATCCACCAGTTGTTATTACTGCTGTATACAGCTTGTGATATAAATACCACCCGAGTATTCCTACAGAGATATAATTGAGAAAATTGAGGGTCACGGGGAAAGTAAGTGGATGATGGCTAGGTCTTTGAACCTTTAATGTAATCGGATCACTCTCAGCTTCATGAGAATGGTGCTAGGGGAATTTGCTGAGGGAGTAAGGGAATACAGACCACAAGACTAGTTCGGAATGATGCGCTTCCCCTTGGCTATCCTAGATTTGTGGAACATACTTCACATTTTCACTGGAAGTACTAGACGAATAAATCATCTTTGCCGGCCAGAGAAGGCGGTATCTTGAAATAGGAAAACTCAACACCTGTGAGTAGTGTCCTATACTGAGCTTCAAATCTCAACGTGATGCCTGTAGGGCTAAAGCTGAGTCACACCTTTCCAACTTTGAGCTATGTTGTCTACTCCTCTATCACAGATACGATTCCGATAATATCTGATGATCACGACGATGATAATAGTGGAAAAAAGGAAAGATGATGCGGTACCAAACGCTACAACAGTAGTCAGAGAAGCTCTCGCTATATCGCAGCATGTGCTACCCACCGGCGGGCGAACAAAAAGACCACCAAAGCAAAGTAAAAGACTCTTCCGCCCTCAACAAAGGTGGATTTCGACTCGTCTATAATATCGTCCCTACTAATCTATACCTCCGAATCTACTAGCCAAGAGGGGATCTGAAACACATGACTTACCAGACAACTCCACGTCCGTGACGACTTTTCAATGCTAGGCTAGGCTCCTTCACGGCAGTCACTCTCGACCAAGACTTTTCTGACATCCTTTCACGATCCTCGGTTTGTCCTGCAGCATGAATCAGGAGAAAAATCAGGAGGATGCTAGGAAGGTTGAGGGACGCTGTTAGGTATACACAGGTCTGCTGCGCCTGGCTGGCCGGCCACTTCATCATAGGAGAGGCCCGCACCTAGTGGTTTTTGAGACTTTTCCCTGTAAATACATACCCACAAATGGCCATCGTTTAGTTAGCTGGAGAGAGGAGATATTGACGGGATACCGGATCCTCTTAGTGTACACTCGAATGAAGACCTATAGGGGTATTACTGCTGGAAAGAAGTCGTGAAGGAGGCACAGGAGGGAGTACACTACACAAGGCATAGATATTCCCGGCCTAAATGAAGAAAGGACCTACATATCTTTACACAGTCATAGATTTCATAGGACAAGAATCAAATACAATCTAGTCTTAGCTTTGGCCCTAACTTTAGTAGAGGAAGCAGTGGAAGCCTATGCAGATGTATGTGCACAGGAAGCTTTCTGAATTTCAAATGCCACTTAGACTTGAAAACGAGTCCGTGTCAATCAATTAAGAAAAATTGTATACTTCTCGTGACTTTCCGGTTGGAATACAGGGGATACTAAACTTTGGCATGGCCATCACGAAAACACTGAGAGATAAGTTGTAAAAATCACGCGTAATGGGGCAAACTCGTGTAAGGCATCTGTAAATACAGGGGGTGTATCCACAGATGTTTCACCACGCACGGATATCGAGATGTCCCTCTTCTCAACACAGACTGCGTCCCGACGATTTAATGCTCGATATTAGAAATGAAGTCGAATTATTATATATTTTTATAAAATATGGATGTTCAAACTTCATCCATCATATGCCCGTAGGACCAATTGTCCGATTCAAGGCCATGACTAATGGCATTCAAGCGCGTGGAAGCAAAGTATAGCATAATCAATTTTGCAGCAAACACAAACCGACTCCGCTGTAACAGTATTACGGCGCCCGACTCTACTATCAGAGGATCATCAGTCATGGAGTATTGTGTTCTTAGCAATCTAAATCATCTGCCAGTGTTTGTCTTGTTTACGAGCAGTCACCAAAGCATCGCGGAAATGAGCGTCTAAAAGATTAAGCCTCAGGGTAATTGTGTCATAATACTCTTAGTTTCGAGCAAGTTGTAAGAGAAAAAGATGGAATTGTCAACCCATGGTAGATAAAAATACTACAAGCAGACTCAATTGGGAGCGAGACTCATATCATAGCTCTCTTCTGGCGTGTGCCGTTTCGTGTTACGCGCATGACTCGCTCCTGTTCAAGATCGGGACAACGTGAAGGGACATTTAAGATAAAATTACTGTAGAGCGTCTCAAAAGTTCGAAGGTATGAATCTATGGATTAAACGCGACTACTTCAAATCATAGAAGTAAGATGAGTATTAAACTTTCTACATTTTGGAAAATTATATCCATATCGCGATAGTTCATAATCTGACTAGCTATAGATCGGTTGATGCGAAAGTTGTGAAACCACTAAGATGTGATTTAACACACTTTGAACTTCGTATACACGCTGTCTTCACGAAGTGTTAGCAAAAGTTTTGAAACCCCGATTAATTATTATTAACATATGAGGAAAGTTTACAAGAGCGACTGGAAATAGACCGTGAGTCCATGATTTAGATCTAGTCATAGCGTGAACTCTCGACTTGTTATACCTATACGAAATCTTTTCACCAGGACCTAGCGAAAATAAAATAATATGCAGGGTCAAGAAATGGTGAAGGCACATAGAATCAACCCGGATATGTTAAATTTTAGCATTGCTGTTCATGCGCATAGCTGAGTAGTCCTTAACTTTCAATAATGCCAAAGGAAGATGTTTGGCACTGACTTCAACCTATATTCCAGCTTCATCTGATCTATTTAATCGGCAGGGTAACCTCTCGCTCAAACTAGGTGTAACCGTTTGTCTACCTAAAACAACGCGACAAATCGTTTCAGGCTACTCGTCAGTGTGTCCGAAATTCAACTCCTGATGTCTCAATGACTCTATTTGCGTCACTTGATAGATACTAAAAGAGCCCCTCGTATGAGATCAGGCCAGACCTTAGGGAAAAAATTGATTTTATCATCTTGGTTCTATTCCACCATCTATCGCTTCTTCAACATCATCGCAGAATTCATCAATATTCTCCAAGCACAGGTGCTCTTAGTACAAGCCTCACAAAATGTCGACTGTAGTAAATGCTGTGGCCGATTTACTTCAAACGGTAGCTGCCGGGCAAGCTTTAGTGAATAATATCGCACCTACTACATCGGTTGCCGATTTTTACAGTATTCGCCTCGAGTTAGGAAATAACCAAGATGCCAGTGGTAATCCCCCTTCTGTAATTCTCACCGACTTTTCAAACGCACAATTCTATGGCGTCTTTGAGGGGAGTAGTCAAAACCCCTCTGAACAGTGCCGAAATTACGAAGATCTTCCGACAAGGCTAGATGGTAGAAGCCCGGCGCTTTTCAATGGCCTCCAATACGGAGAGGCTCCTGTCCAGACATTTACAACTAAAGAACAGTACAAACTCAAATCGATAGATTTCCAGGCAGGTAGTAACTCTATCTGCGTTTCAAACATAATCGTCAAAGGTAGCAAAACTCAATCTCGGAAAGATGAAGTCTTTATTCCCATTGGCGACCTTGGATTCCTATGCGGCCGAAAATGGAATTGGGGTACAATTTTCGGCGGGGTCCGTCAACGTTGTATTTGGCTCGGGGGACAAGCCAGTAGGTCCAATACAACCATCGAATCTCTACATCTTGATATGGAGAATATTGCTAGAATCTTCAACAGCGACAAAAATGAAGAGCTCAAGAAAACTAAACTTGAAGATGTTTGTAGATTATTTAGCGATAGCGCTGGTTTGATACCCAATCGAAACAGTTGCAAACCATCAATCATGCGAAATTCTAATCCAAAAAATATTACCATTAGTACTGTTCCAATGATTCATATTTCTTCTTCACAATTTTTAAGCGGCTCTATTCCAACTGAAAACTTTCTGGGCGCAGGGTTTGTTACAACTGACAACAAAATATTTGACAGTCAAACGAAAAAATTCAGCGATCTAACAGATGAGATTTTTGAGACCGACCCCCTAGATCTACCGGATGAAGCATACTCTGAGATATATCCTGGAAACACCGAGGAACAAATTCTGGCTCCCGATATAACGATGAGTAGTGATACGCAAGAAGATGAGAAACAGGATGGTGAGAAGCTTGTGGGACAAGATTTATTCTTGGGACAAAGTCTTCCAATTGATCAAATGCTTGCCAGCGAAATGATTGCGGAGCAAACGCGCGTAGAAGAAGCCATCGAAGACGAAATTGTCAACCAACTAATCGTTGAAAACCTTAAGATTGATGCAGAGACGGAGAGCGAAATCCCAACAGAGGCTGAAATATTGAACGAAGATATTACGCCTACCGAAGAAATTCTTCCTCAAAGCGAACTTCTTGAAGAAGCAATTTCAGAGGATAGATCAATTGTAGAGGAAGTATCCACTCAAAACGAAAGGCTCACAGAAGAAATATCAGCGGTGGATGAATTAATTGCAGAAAGTGAGGCACTAAAAGAAGAACTTATAATTGAAAAAATGGTCAAAGATGCAATAGAGGAAAACGTAATTGCAGATGAAATTTTTGCAGAGAACGCAACACAAAATGACAAACCTTTAGTTGAGGAATTATTAGCCGAAAATGATGAGCTAGCAGAGAAAATATCTGTAGCCGAAGAAATTATTGCCCAAAATTTGGCGGTTACAGAAGATTTGGCTATTGATCAACTTTTAAACGAAGCGCCGGTTGAGAGCGAACTGGAGGAAGCCGCGATTGTAACAGACGAACTATTGATCGAAAATGAAAAGCTTACAGAAGATATATTGTTAGCGGAAGAACTTATTGCTGGAAATGACGCTATTACTGAAGAGCTAGCTTCCGAAAAAATTTTAGAAGAAGAGCTCGCTGAAAAAAAGTTGTTAGCGGAAGAAATAATTGCCGAAAATGAGGCAATAACTGAAGAACTTAACGGCGAACAATTGCCTTACCAATCATCTGCTGACAGTGAAGTGGAAGAAATGGCAATTGTCGCGGATGAACTTTTGACCGAAAATGAAAACCTCCAGGAGGATATATCGGTTGCAGAAGAGCTAATCGCCAAAAACGAAGCAATTACTGAAGAGCTTGTTATCGACCAGATGCTTCAAAGTATTAGTTCGGAAAACTTATCACCAGGCGAAGAATTTATTGCCAATATAGAGGCACAGGAAACCGCCATCGCAGTTGAAAATCTAGATGCAGAAAATGAGCGGCTCGCAGAAGATATCTCTGTAGCCAAAGAGATTATTGCAGAGAATAGAGAGACAACAGAGGAGCTTGCCGAAAAAATGGTTGAAATATCTGTGGAGGAGACTCTCTCAGATGGAAGGTTAGCTGATGCCATGTCGGAAAATGAGGTATTCATGGACGACGGATCAAGCGAAATGTTCCCTAGCGGTGAATCATTTAAAGAAAGCGAAGAATTTGGAGGAATATTTGAAGATGAAGCGCTCGCAGAGAATGAAGAAATTGATGATGGAATCCCCGAAGATAATCTTGCCCAAGACGAAGTGTTTGAGAAAATGCTCGAATCTGAAGATTTTCCTGAAGATGACATATTTGATGATTTTATGGACGAGCAAGGGGCTACGGATAACGAATTTTACCAAGAAATCGGCGAAGAAGGCGCACAGGCATCCGAACCATACATGGAAGAAGGGTATGAAGTGATATCTAAGAATGTAGCTGATGAAGAACTTCGAGATGATTGGGAAGATTTATCCGATCTAGAAGGCTTTGGTCGAAAGCCACGCTACAGTAACCTGAGAGTAGAAACGTGCCAGGCAACTACTGATGGAGTCTCACCTGACTGTACACTGGACAAGGTAGTTACGGCGGACAAACTACCGGTTGTGCCGAAGCTGAGAACTTCTTAGTTTGATTGCTGACAACCTTTCATAACTGATTAGTTACCTTCTATTGCTGGATAATACCCTGTTGTCAAACTGTTGTTATTTATGATACTATCTAGGGTATAAGATCTTCGCGTTTACACTTACCTTTTTTTCTACTAGATATGATAGCTTTTGTATTTTTAAAATATCAGCAACCTTGTAAATCTCATTGGCTCAATTTTATGTCGTGAAACTATATCACTAACCTTCTATACCTATATTATAGTAATAGATGTAATGCACTTCTATTTGCATGCGCTCAGGCTATCAGTTTGGTCTCCAAAACGGCCAGCTCCATGCTCTCTATGCATCTTTTAATCCTATCAGTGGGGCTAATTACTAATGAGTAAAAAAAGCTTCAAATGATTATTTAACCTACTCTGAAGATATCTTTGCATGAACAAAATGTTGGTAAAACACGAAGTAATACAAATTGGGTGCCGCCACGAAGTCGATGAATAATGTCAATTAACTGATATCTCGAAATACATAAAACGTTGTCTCCTCTTTTTCCTTCTCCATCTCCCCTTTCTCCCTCTACTCCAAGCGCCTCGCTAATGAGCTAAACCAGACCCCTGTCAGTGTCCTAACGACAACCTGAATAACGCAACTACATAGAACAATTCATAATGCCCAAATATGATCATTTTACCGACACAAAATTTATTTGCAGTTTCAATATTACGCTCCTTTACCAAGGCTCTAAATAGCCTCGAGAAACGCGACCAGTGCAGCTATGGGGTTCACTATATTCAGGGGCTAGATGAGTCGCATCTTTGGAAGCTCTACTCGTTGAAAATTACTCTGTCATTGTATCTGAGCCAGACGATAGCCAACAAGAAAAACAATAATATGGCCTATCATATAAAGATAAAAGGACGACGATGACAACATAAGTTGACCTATCCAGTGTGTATAGACGTGCTTGGCGCAGAAGAAGTTGGACAAGGAAATGTCTGGGGTAAAAAATAAGGACTGTCCATACGCACGTGGGTTGTTTGCTTCGGCCAGTGCTTGCATTCTGTATTTAGAACTGCAGGTTATATGTTCCTAGCGCATGTCTCAGTTTAGAGATCAAAAGATCAAGTCAATCATGATCAATGTATATAGTGCTAGAATTCCAGGAGAAATGAGAATTAAGTTGTTTATACCAAGTTATCTTTTCCTTAAACACATACACTTCGCCTCTCACGGGTCAGGCTCCCAGTTACCTAGCAATGTGAGGTATGATCGTTTGCACCGTACGGTCGAGACCCTTCCGTGAACACCCACCCAAGGGAAGTATCATATATTCTTAGAATTTAGAATAATTGGGACTATCAAGTATGCCATGTTGTCGATACACACGTGACTACAAATTCTGTACCTAGTTTCACTTCGGTAGTTACTTGAACTAATGCGCTCTACAACCTCGATGACTGAGGGGTCATTATTTCCTCAATATAATCCTTGATTATTCATGCGTAACAGCGCCGCGAGGAATGTAGCTGTGTTTCACTGGATTCGGAGCGGGGATCTACTAGTCTGAATGAGACAAGTGTTCAGGGTATGCAGAAATTACTCGAACGACGAGCCCAGATCAAATACCGCTGCACCATGCAGCCATGGGCGTACCATGGCGCCGTCTGCACTGTCGCAATCAGAGTCTAGGCACGCACTAAGATCAACTTGTGAAACTCCTCACAACAATTCGAAATTTCACGCCGGTCGAGATTGTACCCATCTTCTACCTTATCCAGTAACTTTTTCTTCATCTCTCTCACGTCCATCCCAAAGTACTGTCTCCCAGATTTGTGCGCCTCGCTTTGCCTCCTCTGTCGGCTATGAATATCGGCGTATATTTTGTGGCTTGCTGAGGCCCAAGAATAGTCGATGAGAGGTGTGGTCGTAGAAACGAGCATCTAACGTGACATACTCGCAGACTTGATGAGGCTTGTGAGGGAGTCGGTGTCGGGAGTGGAAAATTAACATGGTGGAGTATTTTGAGTTATTACCTCGTAGCCAGCATGTTCGGTATTGCGATATTTGACTGAACTTGGCTCGGGGAGAATATTTCACTCCCAGGCTCGTAGAGGAGACCGTGTACAGGTATGAAGCCTTGCCCTCCGCCACGGCATGCATACAGCGGGTTTCTCGACAGTTGGGCTTGACATGACTCAACACATAGGTAAAGTCTGAGGTGATCCGGTCATTAAAGTAGGGCAAGGTTTTTTTTTTTAAAATCATTTAATGTGTATTCAGCTATCTAGCTATGACACATGACCGGTGCTATGTATACATGTTGGATGACTCTTTTGACGTTAGAGACAGTCATACTCTGTATTTCATTCGCAAATACCACTTTGAGGTATATTTGCTTACACAAACAGTCAACTATCCTCCGTAAGTACCCACCAAAGGAAATTTCAAAACCTTTGGTTATCCAAGCATGCCTTCATCATCTATGCATACCAGCGCCGCGAGAAATGTGGTTGTGTTTTGCTGGATTTAAACAAGCGATCTACTGTCTCGAATGGGATATGAGTCCAAACTATCCAGACTCTACTTGGCAGACCGGCCAAGACGATGTACCACCGCACCATCCAACCATGGCGGTGTTTATAGTGTCGCCTGCACTCTCGCAACCGAAGACTTGGCACACACAAAGCTCAATTTGTTAAAACTCCTTGCCAAAATTCAAAATTCCACGCCCGTCGAGAGTGTATCTATCCTTCACATCATCTTATTAATTTGTCCTGAATCCTCTCACGCCAATCCCAAAGAACTGTCTCCCAGATTTGTGCGCCACGCTTTGCTTCGTCCTGCGGATATAAATATCGGCATGGGCGTGTATTTGGTGACCGGCTGAGGCCAGAGAAAGTCGACAAGAGGTGTGGTCATTGGAATGAGGCTGTGATAGGTCGTACTTGTAGACTTGATGAGGCTTGGATAGGATTCGGACTCGTTGGGAGTGAAAAATTGACGTGGTGGAGTAATTTGAATCATTGCCTCGTGGGCCAACTTGTTCGGTATCGCGAAATTTGACTGAACTTGGCTCTGGGAGAAAATTTCACACCCAGGTTCGTCGGGGACAGCGCATACAGGTGTTCAGTCTTGCCCTACGGGACGAGGTTTATCTGTACCGTGTTGCCACGGTGTCAAGTTTGCAATGGGGCTTCGGTAGGGGTTTTAGCGTGCAAACTAACACTTCTTAGGCATAGTCACCTTCCATATTGGAGTTAGCCCCCGTATTTGTGCAAATTTTCGAAGAAAGTTGTATGGCAGTTTTTATCTGGACACCATAGTTTGCAGTGGGTCATTTCTTCGTACTAAACCTAATTGGCATAATGATCGGCTGCATAACATTTGTGCATTTTTCCTACTTGATTTTATAACTCATTTACAAGAGTTCAAAGGTTTTCGAATTACAAAATAGAGCCACAGTCTTATCTTAACCTTGGGTCTGAACTTTTGACTCGAATATTTTCAAGCCTTAATATCTGGTTGGTCCCCCATCCGCATCTATCACAGCTTGACATCTTGCTGGCATACTCTTCATGAGTCTCACAAGATCTTCGGAAGACACAGAATCCCATGCCTCCTTTACGATCATGCAAAGAATATCTTAAGGTCGCTGATTTCCGCAATACAGATTCAGGTGATGACGCTGGGTGTAATCCGTCATCCTATTCAAACTAACTTCAATTGGGTTAAGATCAGTCGAGTTGGCCGGCCAGAAAATCGGTTGAGTGATCCTCTGGCCCTGCCTTCCAAATTATTTGCTGCTGTGTGGGCAGAAGTATTGTCCTGCATTACGGAAAGCCAAAGTCTCATCGAGACCATGCCATCGATAAGCGGAACTATTTTCTCTGGCCCTGCGAAGCAACCCCAGAACGTCCAGCCGACCCTCTTCGATTTCTCTCCAACACAATCAGTGCTATGTTCTTGGGAAGTCTAGCTCATAATGTTAGAGCATTAAATTACTATCTTCTCGAAGAGAAATGCACGGACATTTCTTGTCACCCATTCTCTAGAACGTCTTCCATCCTCTACCCAAGTTTCGTCTGTCCATAAAACTGACATCTAGTCTTCATATGTCCAATTGAGATGAGCTTCGGCCCATTCTTTGCGTGTCTTCACAGTTTTTTGAGATACTGGAGGCTTTAGACGAGCCACATGTTGTTGATATCCTCTTTTTGTAAGTTCTTTTGGTATTACTCGCTCGCTAACACCAAGATGACTGCTGGGGCCAGAGGCAAGTCCCAGAAATGTTTTGCGGCGGTTTACAGGTGAAGACTCAGGGTAAGATATTATGTGATCAACACCATCTGCTTTTAGTCTTAAAAATGTTCTTTTTCTATTTTTGGGTGAGACAGTTCCGCGGTGCAGCGAATAACTAACTTGTCCCCGATGAATGCCTAGTTACGCGGCAATCTGCGTCTGGTTTTTGCCAGATTCATGGAGCCCATAAATCTTAAAATTTCTTTTAACTTCAATTCGTTCATTTTAATTTTCTACTCCCTAAAATTTTTTGATCTCTGGATAATTGATTGATTCGAGGTGATGAAGGTGGGGTTTGAGGTGGATTCATCTGCAAAATAAGGTTAGTATCGAGGAAAGCCATGTGTCTTCTGAATAAATAACTTTGCCTTTGAGAAATCTAATTCTTATTGTAACTCAAGCACAAGGTGAGAAGAGCTGTGTGATTTTTTAGCGGTCGGCGCTCATCAAAGTGATGGCAAACAACTAGAGAACAGGTTGGATTTGCATAAAACTGAGGGTGACATGAAATCAAATTGTGCCTTTTGTTTAGGCCTGGAAATCCAGGACAAGAATTATGTTCCCTGTCGAAATTGGCGCTACCAGGGGTACAACACCTGAAGCGAATATGCGCCCCATTTGAATCCACTGAAGACTTGAAATCGTGGCACCATAGTTCAGTCAAACCCCTGTTAAGACGATGTGCGTTTGTGTGTAGGGGTTGCGAAGTGGCTTACGGTGAC